GGAGATGGCGGCTGCGGCTCAAGTTCCTCCGGTTGTAACGATGATTTGAAATTACTTTGCGAATGACTCTGTGGCGTTTGCGACGATGATTCTGAACTTGTAGAAGTTGGTAACAATGGATGTTTGACATGTGATGACTCTGGTACTATCGTTAAACGTTGTGGCAGTGTTGGACGTGATGATAAATCATGCTCTTCGATTTGATGCTTTTGTTCTCGTGGCTGTGTCTTTTGATTGCGGTTGGCTGACGACTGTTGTGCATGGGTTTGTTGATAACATACTTCTGGATTTTCTTTGATGAGTTTCGAGCAATGCAGATGTTGTGTTTCCTGCATATTTTCTTCCCCTTTGGTCAACCGGAGTGTAGTGGATTGTAATTGTAGTGTTCGTACTTTTAGTTCATTTACGGTGATACTTGCTCCTCCAATAGTTATCGTGGTTCCAATTGCTTGGCAAAAGTCCATGCCTAAAATTATGTCGTCTGTACTTTCGTCTAATACCAATAGCTGTGTTTGAATGGTGTCATCTCCTAGTCGTAACGCTACCTCTGCACCCCAGGTAAGATCACGCGTTGTGTTGTCGGCCATTCGAACTCTAGTAGTGGTCCGAAATTCCCGAGTTCTTAGTTGTAAATTTTGTGCAAGTGTCCGACTGATGAAACTTCGTGAGGCACCAGTATCTATTGTGGCTTCTAGCGTATAAGTATCTAAATGTACGGTGGCCATCACTTGGGCATCCTTTAGGTAGAGTGGTTGTTTGTCATGTGCGCAGGGTTTTGGTCGGTAGGAGTCACTGTCCCCGCGGTGGAGTGCTCCTGATTGCCGTTTCCCGAATATTTTCGGCAGCAGTCCACGGTCCGTATGTTTTTTAATCCACATACCCAGCAGAAGAGTATCCGTCGCCCTTGGCATCTCTTAGCGAGGTGTCCATAGTGCCCACATCGACGACAGGCCAGGTTGGGATTGACTATTTTGTCGGTCTGGGTCTTCACAATGTGGCTACGCTCTTCGCGAATTTTATGGTGGTTGGATTTCTCCTGTTCCAGACGAAGTATCTCGAAATCTTCGGCCAGCGTAACTAGTTCATCCAGGCTTGCGAAGTCGCGACGCTTAATATACATCTGGTAATCCGTGCCAGAGTTCCGATAAATTCGGTCCAGTTGTTGACACATGTCGAGGCCGGCATGACGCATTAGGTCCTGCATGACGATGACGAAATCTTTGAACCCCTCACGTTGCTTTTGCTTGCGGGCACGAATTTCGTCCTCTAACTTTTCGAAGTATCGCACCGGTAGGAAAAATTTCAGAAAATCGGCCTTAAATGTAGACCATAGTTTCCATTGCCTGTTGTTGTTACGATACCAGATCAGTGCTTTGTCTCTTAATAACTCTGGCATGGTCCGTGGCATTAGATTTACGTTAATACCATATACGTCGGCCAACTCTTCAATCCTTTCTATAAACATAAGTGGGTCCTTGCCACCATCATACTTGATGGCCCACTTCCTCACTTGCTCCATGGTTTGTGTAATAGGTGGGAGTATGATCTGCACCTCGTTGCTAGGCTCTTGTACTGTTGGTACCGTTTTGGTGTGTTTCCGTGCGAGCTCCCATAACATTTCTCTTCTTGCCATATCATAGTCCTCTTCCTCAATATATGACGCCAGCCTGCGTCGAAGTTCCTCTACAGAACCTGTTGTACCCAATTCCATTTCGTCCAAGTAATGGATGAGCTCTTCCTTGCGTAGGTTGTATAACCACGACTTGCTGGGAGTAGGAGGTCTTCGAGATTCTTGGTCACTGGTCACCTTTAAATCCACCGACATCACTAATCTTGGTTTTCTTTCCTGTTTGGTTTATTTTCGAACTCGAGTCCCTGCTCGGGCGCCAATTGTAACGACACGGATTTGTCGTTTTAAATTTGCTGAGGTATGACTCAGTCGTGGTCCGGGTCGTTGCAATAAATTTATTCTATTGACCAGTTCGAAGCTGGTAAACCAAGGAAAGTTAAAAAGACCGTTTATTATTTTAAACAAAACTTTATTTATTAAAAGGATTTCTTTAATAATTTATTTTAATCTTGACTCTACTCGATAATTTATTTTAAGCTTGACTCTACTCAATAGTTTTTTTAAGCTTGACTCTACTCGATAATTTTTGCCCAAAGACGTCAGAACATCAAAGGGTTCTTCTCAAAGCTACGCAATTAGTTTTAGCCAAAGACGTCAAAACATCAATGGCGTTTATAAATCTACTCAATAATTTTTACCCAAAGACGTCAAAACATCAAAGGGTTTTTTTCAAAGCTACGCAATTAGTTCTAGCCAAAGACGTCAAAACATCAATGGCGTTTATAAAATCTACTTCTACTGATTTATTAAGCCTTAGCGTCAAAACACCATGGGCTTCTCAAAAAAGAAAGACTTAGCGCTGGAGTAGAGTACTACTCGTTTCGGTGTGCCGGTGCTAAGTGATCTTTCATACAAAATCTCCGCTATTTATATGCGACACTTTGCTTTGCTTAGATGTACGCACAACCGCACAAGTGTAATTCGCTGTCAGCTTTGCTTTGCGTGTCGTGCGTGCGTGTGTTCGCTGTTGGCTTCGTTTTGCGTGTCGTGCGTGCGTGTGTTCGCTGTTGGCTTCGTTTTGCGTGTCGTGCGTGCGTGTGTTCGCTGTTGGCTTTGTAAATAATTTGTTAGTTTTGTTTTGTTTGTTTAAATAATTTTTATGCAGATGATTTTTACAACTATTGTTTTGTTTTATTCTTAATAAATTCTAAAAATAACTCTAGCTTAAATATAGTCAATTCATTTCATATAAACAATTATTTTGTATAAAAATAACTTATGTCTAGCAATTCATTTCATATAAATATTAATTTTTTATAAAATAACTTATGTCTAGCGATTTATTTCATTTCAACATTCATCTCGTATAAAAAATATTTATATATAAAGTAAATTTTTATTTATGCATATACATATTTTAAGGAAAATAAAATTTACTTTATAGAACAAAGTATCCGTTTTCAAAAATAATCTTTGGTTAATGTTGAATTATAAAACAATTTTTGTGAGTGCACAAAATATGGCAACTCTGAACATTTGGCGTGCTGTCATTCTTTTGCAGTAATTTATTGTGTTTGTAGTCGGTGGTGATATACTAACTTTTGTCTCTTAATATACACGAATATACAAAATGGATCTCGCCGGTCCACAAATTTTAAAGAATTTTTTATCAGAAGATGAGTTAAAACATATACCATCAGAAACTCAGGAAAAATTGACAACGCATATTAACAAATTTTTTGATGAATATTACGCAGGAAAAGCTGCTATCAATCGCCTCGGTAAGTAAAAATTATATTATGTAGACACTTCAAGGAAGTTTTGCGTTAACAGTACTGCGAATGTATGCAGTTTTAAATCTAAGCATCGCTCATTATGTATTTGGACTAAAAAGTTTTATCATCTATGCATTGTTTTATCTATAATATGTAATTTGTCTGAGTTTATGTCTGTTTGCAGCAATTAATATTTCGAATTTGTAGAACTCACTTAAACGCCTAGTTATACTTTTTATCCAAAGTGACTCAAATACTGGACTCGACGACAAATGTTTTTAGACATTTGTTAACTTCAAAATAAAATATTTACATAATCTAAATTTAAGAATTATTTGTTTAGTATTTTTGTTTAGTAAACCACAAGTATATGCAGTTTCATTATCTTTCGAAAGTGAATGAATAGTTAGGTAAACCCAGAAGTGATTACTCGACTACTGTATTAAAGAAATGTTTAAATTGATATAGCTAAAGTTCAGTTATTTAACAGTACTATATATGAAGTAGTTATTAGTTCACATTTTTAATTCTTAAGATTTAATAACTTCACTTCACCCTCTTATTAATTTTAAAGTATAATTATGTTTTTAAAGGATTGTGTAGAACTAAACAATGTGTTGCTAGTTACTTTTTTTATTTTTATATATAACTATATTATTTATAAATATCGAAGACATTTTAAAGTTTGACTTGTTCCTCAGAACGGAGTATTATTTTAACTGATTATGAAAAAAAGGTTGGATATTTGTACTGGAAGAGTTTTTTGATTACAAATTCAGTTTTAATGGCGTTTTCGATCAGTAACTCTGGGCTCAATCTAGATTTACTCTGTCACATTTTGTTGCACAATCGAACATATTTGGAGTAATCTAATATTCTCGTTAAAGTGCTACTAAACATTTATATTTTTCCTAAATATATATGTCGAATCAAAACACATTTCATTTGACAAGTTATATAAAACAGCTGTTATATTCAGTCTAATCATGTTACTCTGACAAAAAGTCTAGATGGTATAAATTGCTCGAGGTTTACCAATCGAAATTGAAAACTGCACTGAAAGTGATTGAAAAAGTCAATCCAGATTTTTCAATTGATAACTGCATAAATATTTGCCTACAAAAACAGTTTTTTATTGAATTGTGTTTCTTGTAGTACATTAACATTTTTTCTTTTTTTTTTATTAATTTTATACTACGTATTTCCTTGTACAACCACATTTCAAATGCTTGTGTCTGTTCATGCTAGCTATTTTGTGTTTAAGTCTTAGCACCATAAAATAGTGTCGACTATGTGTTACATTTCATAAATATAATTTTTAGTGGTATATTAATTTCTAAGCTTGTGAATATATTCTTTAGTTTATTAAATACGTCTTTTGCCATATTCATCTTTACTTAAAAACAGTTCATAATATTTCTGCTTCCTGTCCATGTTAAAAATTAATTGATTAAGATGGGCAGGTCGTCCGAAAGTTTAATATTATATACAATAATACCGTTGGTTTTAATACCTTTTCACGTTGAATACATATTCACGTTATAGATATAGGTAAAAAATTCACTCTTGTCTAATGCCTCAGTTAACATTCAGAATGTTATCCGTTACACTTCTGTTGGGTTATACCAACATATAAAAAATTTATTATTCATTTTCTAATGTTTCATTTCAGAAACAGAACAAAATATTTCTTTTCTAATTCCAATTCTTTATTTCAAATCGAATTATATTGTACCCACCACTTTTTCGCATTTATTTTATATTCTGTTGTGTATCACTTTGAGAAATATCTATAATGTATGATTCATCAAACTAATTAATCTGTTATCTTTACAGTGAAATGCGTTATAATTTCTTGAGAGCCGCCAAGAACGTTGATTAGTGCAACAAAGAGATATTCTCCTTTATATATCGATTGTGTTATTGCCCAGAATTTTAATATCTATTGGAATTTCACATTTCCAAAATGTTTATATTTTGATGTTTTAATTTATTTTAGATTCTGTTACTTATAACTTTAGATCATCTATGCCATAATAATATTGGAATAATATTTCTACATAGATACTGATACAGACAGTATCCCTAGTAATAAGTACATGTCCTTTCTGCGCCAGTATCTGATATATATCTGATATTTTATTTTGCATAGTATGTTAGATTATATTTGTTTTAAAAACTCTTAAAATTGTTTATGTAAATGAAAGATGTTATGAAGTCTTTCCGATCTATCAATATCTTCATTTCATATCTGTTACAATTTATTTCTGAACATATTAGATTTTTTCCTTATAACTTTATTGAGTCTGCTATTTCGGTTTTACGAAGTGTCCGGAGAATCCGTTGAATCTGATAAAAATGAAATTTCCGGAATTGAAAATATATTCGGATTTTTTGTAAATCCGGAGTGTTCGAATATCTGGATTTACGATTATTATTCGCAGTGAAATTATTCGGAGTCTTCATGAGCAGAAGTTAAATGAAGAACACAAAATGCAAACAAATGTACATCACACAAATTAACACAATTTTTTTTAGAGATGATCGAATTTGCTTTGTTTAAACGATAACTGCGATGATATACATACATGTCCTCATCGCAGTTAATTTTGCTCCTGAAAGTGTGGAAACAAGCGTTTTTATATATCACAATAAAGCATTTCTATCCATTGATTAATTTTTAATGTAATTAATTAATTTTTTTTCGTAATTAATTTTAAAGGTTTTAATTTGGAAATTAATTAAAATATGCATTATTAATAAAATAATAAAAATAATATGTTTATAAATGCATAAATATTAATATTATCAAATCTTTACATATGTATTTTATATTATATTTAAAATATTCATTTATATAATGTCTTTAATATAAATTATAAATATAGAAAGGTTTTAACTAGGATATTATTTTAAATTTTCATTATTAATAAAATAATATAAATATGTTTAAAAATCCATAAATATTAATATTATCAAACCTTTACATATGTATTTTATATTATATTTAAAATTTTCATTTATATAATTTCTTTAATATAAATTATAAATATAAATTGTTTGAAGTGTACAATTTTTATTTAGTAATATGTAATAAAAAAATAAAATAAAACGAACACATAATTTTCTGCGTAAAACGCGGTGCAGACCTTGAATTTTTGAATGTCATTCAAGAGAGAAAATCTGTGGATGACACTTAAAAATGATAGTCTGCATCTTTGAATGAGACGCAACCAACATGTTGGCGTGCTCACCAAAATTTTGGTTATTGGCGTACGAAACACACTTACAGCGTCCGCAAATACCCTTATTCTTCAAAAATGTTGGTTAAATGACAACTCTTGAATGTGAGCATGTTCAAATTCAGTCGCTAAAATAAATTTGAGCAAGAGAGAGTGCAACTTGAATGACTTTCAAAAATGATAGTCTGCATCTCGCTTAAAATACCAAACACAAAAAATTATACAAACAAAGCAAATTTTATCATCCTAAAAAAAATTTGTGTTAATTTGTGTGATGCACGTTCGTTTGCATTATGTACTCTCCCACTAACTTCTGCTCAAAAAGACTCCAAATAATTTTACTGTGAATAATCGTAAATCCAGATACATTGTGACCGAAAAGTTTCGGAGGTTCTCATTACGTGATAATTCGGTCGGAAATTCTCATTTAAAATTCGCGCGCTGTATATTTTTCGATATTTTAAGTTTATGTAGTTTGGCAGCACTGTCCTTAATTACTATGCCAAAAATGAGCGCGATCTGTCAGACAGTTCGTTTACGGCAGCTGTTGAAACCAGTTCACCTCAGTAGTGCGTTGCGAAAAAAACAATGGAAAAAAATATTGAACAAAGAGTTTGCATCAAATTTTGTTTTTCGAACGAAATTTCGTGTGCAGAATCGTTGCGAATGCTACAAAAGGCTTATGGGGAATCAGTTTTATCGAAAACTCAAGTTTATGAGTGGTACAAAGCCTTTCAGGACTGTCGTACGACCGTCGAAGACATGCCGCGTTCTGGACGACCTTCGACCTCTACCACCGACGAAAACATTGAAAAGGCAAAGGAAATCGTGTTCAAAAATCCTCATGTGAGTGTTAGAGAGATAGCACGAGAGCTAGGCATCGGTCGTGAGATGGCTCGTTTGATTTTGGTGGACAATTTGTGTATGCGACGTGTCAACGCCCGGCTTGTTCCGATTCACCTCAATTTGTTCAACATTATCAACGATTTTAAGGCCAAACATTCAATAAATACCATCGAACAGCCACCGTATTCACCTGATCTTGCACCGTGTGACTTTTTCCTGTTTCCCAACCTCAAATTACCACTCAGAGGAACGCGTTTTGAATCCATAGAAGACGTAAAACAGAATTCGCAGAGGGAACTCAAAGCCATACCGGAAAGCGCCTATAAAAAATGTTTTGATGATTGGAAGAAACGTTGGCATTTGTGTATCGCTTCTAATGGAGCATATTTTGAAGGAGATAAAATAAATATTGATGAAGATTAAGAATTTTGCGTTTTATTTAAAATTTCCGGAAGCTTTTCGGTCACAATGTATTTGAAGACTACGGATTTACGAAAAATTCGATTTCATTTTCAACTTCAAAGACTTCGTTGAAATCCAAATAATCAGAGAATTTCCGTTTATAAAATATTCTAGTAATATGAACAGCACTAGTTAATACCTCAGTGTTTTCTTCCTTTCATAAGTTTTAATATTCCATTTTTTGGCCATTTGCTAGCTGCCATACATCAATAGGATTTTTGTTATTTGTTAAGACATTCCTTAATGGTTTATTTTTGTTTTATCTTGTTAAAGATTTCCTTTTGGTTATTATAGATCAATTTATTTTATTATATAACTTTTTAATTTCATTGCACAACAGTTTTGTTCTCAATATTACTTTTTTTTGGAGGAAATATTTTTCATAAAAATTTTATATGTATGGAATGAACAATGCAGATTCCATCCATTTCATCCTAAAGGTGTGAATGCTAAGAATCTTGTTTCAGTAATTGAGAACATACAAAACTATTCGGTTTAACATTTGATAATTTAAATTTATCTTAACCATTTCACCGAGTATGATGAAGGGACAATTCCGACTGATAGAGTGAATGTGATTAGGACCATAAAAACGGCGGTTGTAAAGCCGGATAAATAATGAAATAGATTACATCTCATCAAAGTAGAGTGCGAGACACTGGAGGCTAATGCCTCCATTGAGAGAACTAAAATGCTAAAAGAAAAAAATAGGATATTAATTAAATCAAGCTTATCCCTCCATTAGAACATAAAGGTTGAGCGTTAAATCAAAAAGGAAAAATTGGAAATTAACCAATACATACAAACTGAGTAACTAATACATACAAAAATCAAAAAATAATGACAAAAACTGCCATTTGGAACTAAAAATGGAATTTTGTCTGTTTGGTATAAGAAAGAGAGGGAATATATATCTAAGTGTTTCTTCTATATTGTGTCGCTTTTCGGTAAGAGTCACAATATCACTACAAAAATTTGGCCCTAAAACTTTTTTCTTATCTGTAGGAACTGATGCGACGGCAGATTTAATAAAAATGCTGCGGAATTGGTTCTTCTGTCTTATTCAAATCAGGAGACATGGACACAAGTCGTTAAGTCGGCTTATTTCACCTTTTTGAAATTTCTGTAGATTTGCGGGTCCCCATCTAAAAGGTTAGCTATATCTGGGGTGTATTGCGGAGGGCATCTAGAGTTGGGAAAAAGGCAACTATGAATTATTTCTAGCTTATTAGAATTTTTACCTAAGAAAATTTTAAACTATATCATATTCAAGTAATCATGACTACGATGGGAAATATTCATTTCAAAGAGTTGGTGATCAACAAGCGTCTCTAAGGCGGAGTTCCAATCTATGTGGTTATACAAACCTGAACACATGAAATTGGTACCAGTAATTACAACTGTTGTATCTAACCACAGTTTGATTTCTGTTGATGATAAGGGTGCAGAAAGAACAATACCAAGAGAAAGTGATTGCTCCCCTTATCAGGATTATATTAAATTCTGGCCGTTAGAAGTACATAAGAAGCAAGATGGTCCGAACCTGTTTCTTAATAGAATAGCATAGACATAAAATGTCAAATAAACACGTGTCTACTAGTATAGTCCCTTTTTGGAAATGGTGAACAGCATTTGGACTTCAAAATTAAGCGATTATAAGACGTGGACTTGATCGCTTCTAGAACCATTCGCGGAGTTCGTATGTACTTCAGCGTTGTTTAGTATAGCATCTGGCTGTAACTCCTCGTATTTTAGATCAGTCTGTATAGATATTAAAGACATTATTTTTTGGTGCCGAAGTTTTGCACCATCTCTCATTTTCATTCATTATAAGAATAGCTTCAATAACCGCCACTGGAGTTGTTTTTTAGACTTGACAAATGTTACCTTTTTATTACAAAATACCTTACCAGTATGTGTATAGTAATACGTGTGTAACAATCGTTGTTTAACACCGATGCATTATGGCAGAAGAGAGACCCCTTGTGCCTTCCAGTATCTTTTTACTTGAACTGCTCTTTTACAGTGTGTTTTAATAGTGGTATCCAAAGCGGAATTTTGTACTCTCTTGTGTAAAGTGACATTTCAGACAATAGTTTTAAGAGTGATAAAAAATAATAATCATAAGGCGTATTGAAGATTTAAATTCACTAAAGATTTTGCATTTAATATAACAAGTATGTTAACAGCCATCTTCATTTTAACAAAAAAATACCTTAATAACTTTTCGAATAACTTTTAAATAAAGTAGAGATTGATAGATGGAATATAGTGAGTTGTATGTATATAAAAATATCTAAGATTAATATGTTTTGTGTAACTTACATTTACTTTATTTTTAAAAGTTGGATTCTATAAAACATTTAACAATTTTATATATTTTAAAATTTTAGATCAAAATGAACAAAAAGTTGAGGAGCTGCAATCCCAAGTACAGGATTACGAAGTGAAATTAAGAAACTGTAATCAAAATGTTGACGAACTGCGAAATCAGTTAGACAAAGTTACTCAAGAACGCCTACAGTTAAATGAGTCTATTTGTTCCTATGAAAAAGATCTTGCTACATTACGTATTGCGAAAAATTCACTTGCTGAATCGCGGGACTCATTGCAAACTTTCATTGAACGTCAAAACTCAGATTTGGAACGTTTACAACAAGAGCTACGGTCGTATCAGATGCAGTTAAAAACTGCTGTAAACGCGAAATGTGAAGCTTTGGCATATGTGGAAGAAATTAAAAGTAAAGAAGCTGCTCTTGAATTTAAAGAGAATCGCATTGAACAGGAACGTACAATGCTAAATAATAGGATAAAAACTTTAAATGATGAGTTAAGTAGGACCAGTTTAGAATTACACAATATTCAAAGTAAAACTACAACTCAAAGTTTTCTTCTTGAAACCCGCTTGAATGAAAAAACGGAAGAATTAAAAATTGTTCAGGATCAATGTGTACAATATAAGCAAACGATTGACGCATTAACTCAAAATATTCAAGATTTAAATTCAAAAATATTAAAACAAAATGAAGAAACCAGTAAGATGATGGAATTTTATAAAAAAGAGTTAGAAGCAAAAACAAAATTAGCTGATTTGTGTAAAAGTGATTCGGACGATTCAAATGTTGAAAAGAATGAGTTAAGAAACGCTATATCGAACTTAAGACAAATGCTGATTGATGCAAGTGATCAATATGGTGAATTGGAAACAAAATTTAAAGCGACTGTAGTCAAGCTGGATCAATTAAAAGAGGACAAGGATAAGGTCATTGAATCATTAAAAATCCAATTAAAACATGCAAACGAACTTATGAAACAAAAAGCAGATGACGATGTTGACCATGCAATTTCAAAAATTGCTCCATCTGCTGCTGTTGCTAGTCGACTTATTAGAAGTGATATGTCGCTTACCGAAATATATTCTCTCTATGTGAATACGTCTCAAGATTTAGAAAAGCAGAAACGCGAAAACTCTCGTCTACAGTTAGAGCTTAATAATATCGTACAAGATTTACGAGTAAAAGCCCCAATTCATGAGAAAAGGGATGAGGAACATCAAAAATTATCTGCATCATATGACTTACTAATTGGAGAGCATGAAGACTTAATTCGTAAAAAGGGCGAAATGGAAGAGGTTATCACTAGTCAGGAAAATCAAATAAATCATAATGAGCGAGAAAATAAAAAACTTAAAAATGCAATTAATGATTTAAGCCGGCAAGTGTGTTACCTATTGAAAGAACTAGAACATTTGCGAATGGGTATTACTAACAATGGTCCATCAATAATTTGTGGAGGTCTCTCAACTACAGATGATGTTATAACTAAAAAACTTGTTACATTTAACAGTATAACTGAATTACACGAAAATAATCAGAAGTTATTAATTCTGGTGCGAGATTTAAGTACAAAATTAGAGGAATCGGAAAATGTGCGACTAGAAATAAACGAATCATGTTATAAGGAAAAAATAGATAATTACACAGCGAAAATTCAAAGCATGCAAGAAACCATAAATCAACAGGCGAACACGATTTCCACATTATTAGAAAAAACTGAACGATATAAAAAAATGTACTTTAAATCGCAAAAAGAATTTGAAATATCTGCTGAAGAGAATTTTAGTGACTTAGAAGATGGAAATGTTGATAATAGCACACCAACAAAATCTACGACTAGTAGAAAACGGAGCAATAACAGTAATGCTAACCAAAATACTATAAATAGTTTAGAAAGTCAGATCCAAGATATGAAAGATCAATATAAAACATTAAAAGAACAGTATGAATATTATATCGAAGAAAAAAAGAATAATGAGAAAATACTAAATGAACAGTTTGACATAATGCGTACTGAAGCACGAGAACTCACCTCGTCAAATTGCAAACTTATGTCTTCACTGGAGTACACGAAGGAACAGATAAAACTACAACAAAAGAATATTGCGACTTATAAGCAACAAATTGTTTCTCTAGAAGAACGCAACAAAAACTATGAGAACACTATAGTAAAACATGAACAGACCTTACAATACTTAAAAGATGAACTTTTAAAAACTCAAAAGGGATATTCATCAGCTGAAACAGAAATGAAACTTTTACGCAATGAAAATAACTCGCTAAAGAATACGATTACACGATTACAATCGGAAAAAGAAATTTTCTATCGTGATCAACAAAATCAAAATCTTTTACTTAATAATATTGAACTTATTAAAACGAATTTAGAACGTTCTGAAATAGAAGGACGGGCAAGGCTGGAACAGCGTTTAGATGACACTGTACGGGAACTTTCTGCACAACGTCGGCGGTTTCAAGAAGAAGAAGATCGCTTCCGTGAAATGATCAATAATTATAAACGACAGGCAGATACAGCGAAAATGTGTATGGAGGAAGAAAAGCAGCAAGCAGAAAAATTACGCACTGATATTGTTGCACTACGAGAAGAAATAGCTATAAAATCAAATTCAATTGATGACCTCAGTAAAAAATTACAAGAAAGCTTAACACCGTCAAGTAATGATAATCCTATTACAGTAGCAAATAAAAAAGTGAGAGAATTAGAAATAAGATGTGAAGAAGCTAAAATTGAAATAAATTCACTTCAAACCGAATTAACTAATTCGCGCGCACATACAGAACAACTATTTAAAATGTCACAAAACGCGGAAGCAGAAGTTACAAAATTACACGAAATACATTCAGTTTATTGTACTAAAGCAGAAAAAGAGATTGCAGAGTTAAAGTGTTCTGAACTCGATTTAAAGACGAAAATCACTGAACTTGAATCAGAAATACAGCTGTCAACAATTCCGGAAAATCCAACAACATCTGGTACTGAACAATTAACTAAATCTCAAAATGAGTTGAAAGATGCATTGCAAAAATTAGCGGAGTGCAATCGTACCTTACGTTCCCTTCGTTCAGAAAATACAAAATTATCGGAATCACTTAATACAGCCGAAACTAAATATGCAAATGAAATGATATTACATTCTGTTGATATAAAAGAAGTGACTAAGCTCAAATCTGAATTAAATAAGGTAAATATAAAAATAACAAGTAGAGTCATATGATATTCGTATGATAGTCATATAGTAGTTTTAACCATTTGTTAAGTATATAATTTAAAACTATACACAATATTTATGTGGTAAATGTTAGTGATAGTGTTTCTGCCGTCTCTCTTAGGGTTTAATAAATTAGCACATAAGTAAAACTATGAATATATATGCCGATAAATATCAGACATGCAGCGAGTTATATTTTATTTTTAAAAATAAAATAAAAAATAATAATTATTTTTGAAAAATGTAATTTAAAGCAAATTTAATTATTATTTTAAAACATCTCATATATTTCAATTTATTATATTTAAGTGGTACATGTAAAAAAATATTGTAGAAGGGCGGGTCGCACAGCCTTTCAGATAGGGCACGCGTCGTCATTGAGCTTAGTTCAGTAGCGGTATTGTAATTTAAGTTTAGATGAAAAACATTTGTATAGATAATTAATAGATATTAAATTAACCATTAAAGTTTGAAATCATAATAACTTAATAATAGTAAACGTTTAGTATAAAACTAATTAATAATGATGATAATAAAACTTTAACAACTAAATTAGGTTACTAACAATAATAATATTAAAAGATTATTGTGGGGCAGTGTAAAACTTCTAATTTTTCTCTTTCCTATTTATCCAGCAATATTTTTTAAACGCAAGTAGGATGACAAATATTTCATAGCTTGTTAGAAAGTGTTAATTAGAGCTCAGAACAGTTGCGACATCGTCATCGCTAACTCTTTTAAGAGATAAAGTATCAAAAGAATTATTAGCTTAATTTTCTCTATGTTATAGGTATATCGTTTATTCCATTGTAATATTAGCATCTTGATAAATTCTGAACTCTAATGCAAGTTTATGTATCAGGTTGTTATTGAGAACTTATATATGTTTTGACAAAAAACAAAAGAAAAAAGTTACACATACTAGATTTTCATTTGTTTTACTTCCATATCACACAGCAACTAAATATGTTATTAAATAAATGCCACTCAAAATCGTTTTAGGCATATTAATATATAAAGTAATATAATGAAAATATTTATTTTCATATTACACATGTGTAGGTATGTTGACTATTCAGTTATAATTATACAGAAAAACTTAATTTGTATTCGCATTGATATAATTTATTTATATTTTCAGGTACAAGATAAACTAAAAGAAAATAATGCCGAGCAGGAGTCCGTTAAAACAGCATACGATGAATTGAAAAAAGCTTATGAAGATTCCATAAAATCATATCAAACTGAGCGAGAAGAATATGAAAATCGTCTTAGTATTATAAATAATATGAATTCAAATCTTCATAGTCAAATGGAAGCATTAACTAACAAACTTTCACTTGTAACTCAGGATAGTAAAACGTCAATTTCACCTAATTCATCTGCGATAGATATTTCTGTTCTTGATAATAGTCAAGCAAATATTGATGAAGACAACAAAACCAACGAACAACTATGGCAAATTATTAAATTTTTGCGTAAAGAAAAAGATATAACTTTAGCAAAACTAGACATTCTTAAGGCTGAGAATGCACGTCTGTTGTCAGAACAAGAAATTCTACAAAAAAAAGTCAATGATTTAACTGAATTTCTTAATAAGGAACGTACTAAGTCTGAAGCAATTGTAGTGTCTGCAACAAAACACGAGGAAATTTTGAGAAAAATTGAGTCGTTTGATGCATTGACTGATAGTAATCGTGTCTTACGTGAAGAAAGAAATTCATTATGTGCCCGAAATAAGGAGCTTAATGAAAAAATAAGTTCAATTGAAGAGGAACTATTTCCACTTCAAGCGCAAAATCGTGAATTTACGTTAAAAATTGAGGAATTAGTATTAGAAAATACATCTGCAAAAAATGAAGCTATGAAATGGCGCCATCGAGCTAATGCTTTAGTAGAGAAAACAAACAAAAATCCAGAGGAATTTAAAAGATTGCAAATGGAGAGAGAGAATTTAGCCAAAATGTTGACAAATGAGAAGGAAATTTTAAAACAAGCAACAGATGAAAACAACAATTTAAAGACCGATAATGTCCGATTAGAGACTGAACTCACTCTTTTATCAAAACAATTAGCAGCATTAAATGAGGAACATAAAAAGGTTTCAGATGAACTAGTGACTGCTAAAAGTACCAATAGTCGAATTATGTTAGAGCTAATGGAGTTAAAAAATAAAATTCTACAAAAGGAGGAAATAATTCAGAAACATATTGAAACTATAGAGTTAAAAGAAGTTCAATTACAAGATGTAAAGAATAAAGAAATTCAAATTCGTAAAATAGCTAAACGATATAAGGATTCATATTTAGAGTTATCTAACAAAAGAAATGCATCAGAAGAAAATACGGGACAAAATGCTATGGAAACTTCAACAAATAACACTAGTGAAGGTAATGAAGGTCTAAGTAACTTATCGTCATTGAGTGCAGAAATCGACAGCTTACGAAGCTTAATAGAGAAACTTAACGGAGAACTCCGACAACTCGATGATGAAAAACAAAAACTTCAAAAAGAATGTGATGATTTAAAAAATACATTAGGTGAAGTTAAAGCGCAAAATAGTGGTCTCTCAGAGGCAAAAATGACACTAATTCAAGAATTATTAACAATCAAAACTAAATTCCAAGCATCTGAAGATAAGCTTATTCAGATTACGAATCAATATGAAGAAACTATAACTCGTCTTGAAAAAGAACAAGTAGATCAAAGTATTTCAAATAAAGATTTAGTTGCACGATTAACCCGCGACAATGAATCCTTAAATGTTCGTCTAAATAATCTTAATCGTCTACTTGGACCTCAGCAGTCTGCAAAAGCAAGTACAAGTTCTATTGCAAACTCCGATAAATGTTCAATTTCAGACTCTTCACCACGTACCGCTAATGTAAAACCTTTGTCGGGATCCACAGTGCAACAGTCAGCTACAGTTACACCATGGCGTGGAAGTGAAACACCTCTTGCTAGCATTCGACCAATATCTGTGCAAAACAGCCGCACGGCAGCTATACTACCAAATAGTCAACAAATAGCAGCAAGTGGTTCTACATCCTCTTCTACTACAGGAAGCGCCAGTAATACGGCTCTAGTTCCACCACAACAGCAGGTACATACAACTGCAAGTACATCTGCAGAATCGATGTCATCTTCTCCAACATCATCGCATACGGATTATATGCCTTCAACAAGTTCAGCTTCGGTTGCAGTTGCTACTATACCGCCCATGGGTGCGATTAACACTGCAGAAAGTTCTCAAGAAGCTGAAAGTGTTCAATTATCTCAGCAAAATGATTCACAGCCGCAAGTAAGTGGTGGGCAATCCCAAGTTGTAGCACTAGTTTCACCTCGAGTCGAAGGTTCTATTCAAAATTCTCCTTCACCAAATCCTCAAATTCACCAAGATTCTAATAATCAGCAGCCTAGTACTTCCGGCACAACTAGCTCTACTTCACATATTGCAGTAAGTAGCCAAAATAGACATACACCTTCTAGCAGCAATGTAACAACTACACATGCCGGATCATCTGGAGCTCACAAACGTCCCCGGGATCTTGATGGGGATGCATCTACGTGTACTGAGCAGTCTAATGCAGATAAACCTAAACAACCTAAACGTTTAAGGACACCAATGCATGAAAGCGAAGCCAATTTATTAGATGTAGAATATCAAGTACCAACTTCATCACAACGGGATCAAGAGGATGAAATTGTTGTCGTTGATTCCGAAGATGACGGTATGGGAGAACCTGATGATGGTCCAATGGACGGTGATACAGAACATGGCTATGAAGATTCATATGAACCTGATGCAGATTTAGGTGGAAACGATGGTCCCGAAATAAAAATTGACAATAATGAAGTTGATGTTGATGAATGCGTAGAAAGCCAAGCTGAATATTCTTCAATCAATGATAATCAAAGCACGGAAGCAAGTACAAGCCAAGCAGCTGCACAGCAAGAAAAACATCAGCAAAGTCAAACCATAACCAGCGGCAGTATTGAATCCAGTTCAAACATCCAACAGCCACCTCCAACGCAGTGGAAACAACAAGCATCGTCCACATTTAACAGACAACAAAAAATAACAAATGTCACATCACCACAAGGCACATCAACTAAAGTTCATGAAGATAACAATAAAGATGTAGTCGTTGGCAGACCCTCTGATAAGTAAGTTTTTTTTTCTAAATATGTTCACATTGTTGTATAAACTAAAAACAACATTTTTATGTAATTTGATCTCGTAATATAACTCAAATTATTAAAATAAATTTTCATTAAATATATAATATATTTTATTATAATCTACCTGCAATAATAACGATAACATTGGGTGCCATGTTTTTATCTGTTTTTATTTCAATTATTTATATATAAAATAAAAAAATTTAAAAATTTTTATGGGTAATGTACAAATTGGTATACTGTAATGTACGCCAGGATCGCCATGTAATATTATATGGAACAGCAGGTTTACGATAAAAAAGGATTAATTGCCTTTTTCTCAATATGAAATTGGCCCGATGTAGAAATGATCGACCTATTGGCACAATAAGTGTTAAACTAAGCTCTTATTGTGCTAGCCGCTTTAAGTATTTCTAAGCTCTTCAGCCGCTTTTGATAATTTCCAGCTGAGATTCAAAATCGTTTGGTCATAAAATAATAAATACTATAAAATACATTAATGGTATATTGATTGCCATTTCTAAATATGTATAGCTATATATTTCGTATCATTTATATTTACAAACGCAATTATTTAATATTTTAGTGCTTCTGAAATTGTGAGTTCTCCGCAACGCTCTCAATTTGGTTACACTGAATCTACTGCACATTCCGATGAAAAGGACGGAAAAATGAATGAGACTGAAACAGTGAATGAAGGAATAGCAGTTGAAGAAGAATACATATCTGAAGAATTTGCGCAAAAAGAAGAAGAAAGTAAGAAATTGATTACTGATAATGACGATGAAGAAGAGGAAGTGGATGACGTTTATGCTGAAGATGTTGCAGGTACTTCTGCAACATCTGAACACGTTGATGATACATGTTTAGATCATAATATAGGAGGTGCTTCGCAGTCTGAGCTTCAAGACAATCAACAAAATTTGAGTGAAATAGTATCTGAGGAAAATGAAGGAGCAGATGGTGTTACTTCTGAAGGGGAAAAGCAAGCTGTTGAAGATATTGAGGTTAATAACTTTTGTCAAAATAATTATTAATAGTTTTTGTAAAAATGCAAATCATTACTAGGAGGAGGGTCGCGAAGCAGAGGCTTCTTCTTCGCCTTCTATAAATACTAGATCTAAAAGTACTAAAGGATCTTCCAGGAGACCACAGAGAGGATACCAACGAGGCAGGCCTATTCCAATTACTTGGCAAGGTATTACAAATATATATTTTACTTTAAACTTGTGTATTAGATAATTTATCCCATTTATTTCCTTAAAGATTCTCCTGGTCATTCCCGAAATATTTCTTCAAACCAACGAAGTCATGAACTAACGTCTAACCCAATGCGTGGATATCCAAACCAACGAAATACACGCGGCAGACGCATAAGACGCCCTGTTGGAAATTACAATATGCGTTTTCCATAGATTTTTAAAATAAGTTAATTAAAAATTATAACTTTAAACTTTTATAAAATTAAATTTGAATATATACACGTATATATATAATATATGTATACTATTTCTTTAAAATATAATTGTATATTTTTTAAATAAGTTTTAAAGAGGTTATGCGATTTTATATTGCTCTAAAAGTTCAAAATTTAGTGAAATTATAATTTGAGGATAATTAAATAGTTCAAATATGAAATAATTAAAAATAAAAAAATTAACAACAATAATAAATTATGGGATAAATTCGTCTATTCGTCTCTCGTGCAATAGAGCGTAGCTTCTTTTGTTGCAAATTTTTTAATAGCAATGGTATGCGAAAGTGTAACTCGACTGCAGCGATTCACAATTAAGTTTGGCTATCTTTGAAATAGGCCACATATTTAAAATAAAAAAGGTGTAACAAAATTTGATTTACACAAATTCAGCTGAAACATAAAGAAGTCTGTTAACATACGCTATTATGGCAGTATGTTATTATTTAACTGTGAATATAAGATACTTACGTTCTGTCTAAATAGGTTAATATGTGAAGGCAATTTATAATCGGATACAAGGTTCACTATTTATGCTTTGATTCTAATAATGGAAAAATAGTAACTTGTTATTAATTGCTTTATTGTTTCTCGAAGTATTCTCCTTTATGATTAATACACTTTTGCATGCGTTGGAACCATTTGTCAAAGCATTTTTTCCCATCTTCTTCAGACTCCTCCGAAAGATGGTTTTTAAATGCAACAAAGGCATTATCTTTATGGAAAATGATCCGACGGCGCTTATTTGTTTTCCTTATTTCACTGAAGACCTTTGGTAAGCAAATGGTTGTATACTATTCGAAATTGGCCGTTTTACGTTCCTGTAATGGTATAGTTGCCACATGACCAGCTTTCCCGGAAAAACAAGCTACCATTTGTTGGATTTGGTTCATCTTGAAACATTTATACAGTCCACTACTGTTGTAATTTTATATACTTATACAAAATAGGCAACTCATGGGCAAAAAGCGATATTGAAAAATCAGAAACATTCGCGTTACATTTGGACCAGCTCTTTAAACCAAATGATAACGAAAATATGCCTGATATCATGAAAGAAAGGATAAATTTTCTACAAGAGCTTTATCAATTGGAACTTCCAATTAACATAAAAGATATACTATTAACGAAGTTAGGGATATAATAACAAAGTTAAAAGTAAAAAAAGCTCCAGGATACGATTTAATCACAGGTATGGCCTTGCAGCAGCTTCCATCAAATACCGAAACTAGGGAAAAGCTCAGAAGACGTCAAATCATATCCCCCAATAAGTCTACTTCCAATCCTGTCGAAAGTTAAGGAAATCCTGTTTCTAAGGCGCCTTATCCGATTATCCAACAAAACAGACTCATCCCTGACCATCAATTCGGCTTTCGCCAAAAACATAGCACAATAGAACAAATTCATAGACTTGTCAGACATATCCATAGTGCGATAGATGTTAAAAAATATTGCACTGCGGCATTTATAGATATTTCACAAGCTTTTGATCGAGTATGGCATGAGGGCCTTCTTTTCAAACTAAAACTGAATCTACCCCTAAATTTTTGTCATATTTATAAAATCATACCTCTCGGCAAAGCATTTTTTCATTAAGCATGGAAACGAAACTACAGTATTCCATGATATAGGATCAGGAGTGCCTCAAGGTAGCATAATGGGACCAATGCTTTATCTTTTATATACTGTGGATCTTCCCCTTACCGATGAGAGTGCTATCGGTACATTTGCAGACGACACAGCTATTTTATCAGTTGACAGTGACCCAATCCGTGCTTCCGCCAAACTTCAAACTTGGCTTAACAATGTTGCTCACTGGATGAAAAACTGGCATATCAAACTGAATGAATCAAAATCTGTCCAGGTAACATTTACTACAAAACGTTCTACGTGCCCGCCTGTTTTAATAAACAATACTGAATTACCGCAAGCTGTAGTAAGCTAACCTGGAAATCACACATATTCAAAAACCGTAAGACCCTGTGTTTCAAATGGTGAAACTTATTTTGGTTCCTCAGCCGAAATTCCAAACTGTCACTCGACAATAAGCTGCTTATATACAAATCTGTACTAAAACCTATATGGAGTCATGGGGCCCAATTATGGTGTACTGCAGCAAACTCAAACCTGGCAATTATCCAGCGTTTCCAATCTAAAACATTGGGAATGATCACAAATGCACCTTGTTATATAACGAATGAACAGCTGCATAAACAATTACATGTTCGGAAAATCAAGGAAGAAATAGCCAGTCTTTTAAAGAATTACGCTCATCGCAAATATATGCACCCAAACCCGCTAGTTACACATCTGATGTCCCCTTCCAACACTTTTACAAGGCTGAAAAGGAAAATATAGATAGATATTTTAGATATGTATATGTAGATCACACACTTATATTAAATATATATGGATATGTCACTGGGCATAGTCCATACGTGTCTTTCTTTTTTTAGATCGTAATAATTATTATTACGATTGATAATTATATATATTACTTATTGTCATTCATACCTGACAGACTGTAATAAAATAAATGGATTTCAAAAAAAAAAAAAATATACTTATATATCTTTTGAAGCACCGCCATTGTACTTCATGAGTATTTTTGAGCTGTATGCACCATGGATCCAACAAGAACAAGTCTTTCCCACAACTAAATGATCGTGCAATATTTTATATATGCTGCCGGAACTAATGCCTAAGGTTCCTCAATCTTATACGTCGTATAACGATCTTGTATTATCAGTTTTTGCATAGCATCTATGTTTTCTGGCGCAACAACTAATTTTGGACGACCTTCACGAATTTCGAATTTTCGTCACTGAGCACACCGCGGCCACGAGTAAAATCATTGTACCAGCGTTGCACAGTGACAAGGGATGATGCTTCATCGCCAAATATGAAAGCAAGTTGATGGATATACTTTTGTCTTGATAATCCACTTCGGAAGTCGTATCAAATCATCGCACGAAATTTTTAGACAAAAGTTTAAAGTAAGTTATGTTTAATAATGTCAAACTTTCGTATGGAAACGTCATATGACACCTAACAATCAGTGTTGGCAAGGCTCGACATATAAATACTGACCCTCGTACATTGTTATTTCGTTTGGTTAAGATGAAGAAAAAAAGATTTCAGCAAAAAAAAGGAAAAAAAGTATTTCGCCTGAGAGTGGTAGAACTGTGCGTCATAGCATTTCAGCTGCAGAAGCCGATATATCCTTTTGGAAAGCTACAAGAAGTTCAAACAAAACTGAGAGTAGTAGTTAAAGCCAGTGACGAGTTATTGCGATTGTTCATTTGGTTCCTGATGTTCTGTTATGATTGTAAGGCTGATGACTGTTGGTATATCCATGGAGTCTACTCTTGACAGTGCATTGCAATTAAATTATTACTGGCTGGTGGATGACAGGTGTGGTGAATTTTGATATAAAACTGAGCTGTCACAATTGATGTGGAGATGCTTTACCTGTTTTCTGGTTGAATCCGAAGACTAGTGGCTTATGATCAATAAGCACAATATAGTGACACCCCGCACGTATATATTTAAAATATTTCATGGCTAGATAGATTTAAGTGTACATTATGTTTTTAGTATTAATACAGAATCAATCAATTTCCTTGCCTATATGAACGGAATCAACCACTATTGCCGATTTAGCTAAAGCTACTATAAAGTTTCAGGTAAAGTTGTGTCGTAAACACAGAGATAATCGCTTGTTTTCCCATGTATTAATCATAGTGCCGCTTTTCACATACAATATGAGTTCATCAGGATCCCTTTTTTATTTCACATTGCCGTTACTCTAATTATGGATAAGGCTGAACTTGTGTCGGCTAAGAATTGAATGTTGAAGCTGCGATCATATGTATGCAACATAATATTTGTCACGTAGCCTAGAGATACGTTTACTGGTTGTTGCACAAATTTACTACACCACTTTAGTTTTACTGGGCACTCACATTATCCAGATAGTGGATGGTTCACCTACAGGTAGCTGTATCAAATTTGACTTGAGAATAACAAGCTCCCAGTAGTGAAAATTGATGTAGTAACCGATTTTTTACGCGATTTCTGCCTTTATTGCAATACCTGTTGGTACTACGGTTGCGACTCCTCAAACAGGACTCAGATTTGCTGTAAAGTGACTTCTACACATTTCCCTATTGCACTTTCCTGTTTGAGATAGTTGCTTGTGGAAACGGAGTATAGTTGCATTACATACTGAATAGGTAAGATATCTACAATATTGTCTGCCACTTCCTAATTTTTGTTATAGCCAAAGCGTCAATAGAGTCAGTTCTGACAAGCTTGCGGCAGCGATGTTATGGAGGTGGAGTTAGTTACTTTCTTATTCAATGGTTTAGGCAATCATATTTCCGACTTCGCTTTGTTAGAAATAGAAATAAACAGGGTATCAGCTCTTAGCGGAGCAAAGCACTGCGATCTATTGTGTTGCAACAGACCCTAACTGAACAGCAGACATTCCGCTTTCCGAATGAAAGCCAGAATGTTAGTCGTTGAGGACCTCCTAATGTCAGAAGTGGAGACTAGTACTCGATCCAGTGACCTTCTCCTAGCTCAGATCAAGACTGGGCAGTCACAGAGAATGTGATTAGAAGTCTCGTCTGATTCTAAGCAGAGTCGAAAATCAATCTCTTTGGACAGACCTATTTTGTTCAGGTGATAACGCAGTCCATGGTGATTCGTTAAATATTCCAACAGCAACCTTATCTGAGTTCTGCTGAAGAAGGATACCTTAGCATAACTGTAGGGATGAACCAGCTCTTTAGCGGGACGGTTACCTAGAATGTCGCGCCAGTAGTGACTTCTCTCGGCTGAAAAATATTCATTAATTTGAGACCTAGTTGTCGACCAACTTAATCCACAATATAGCTCTGGCCCAGGGATTTGAATGCCAGATCCTCACCTCGCAAGACTGTCCGCTGACTCATTACCATTATACTCATTACCAAAATAGCATCACTTTATTTTTGCTTGCCAGCCGCTGTAGCGTATCATAACAGTCTAACAGAGTCATAAT